TTTTCATCCTTTTTTCCTTCGATTACAACATTTTTGTCCTTGAGTATCTGGACTTTCTCTTTTGTAAACAACACTTCTCCACCATTTTCTGTAATACAGTGCACTGACAGCAGGTTTTTGCTGAGTTCTGGAACATATGAAACGTTTCTCAAACTACACTCTTTAAGTTCTAAATTGTCTAATCCTTTGCAGTCATACTTTGATTTCTCTTTGCTACCTTTATACATTGAATATACTGCTTAGTATGTATCAAATCAGTCTTCACATTTGTCATATGACATGTGCTACCACTATCCACTATATATATTTTGTCATTTTTACTTGCATCACTCACATGGGTTTCTACTGCTTCAGCTAGAAAATTGACCTTGCTTCTTTTATTCCTATCTTTAATATAACTGTCCTTTTCAGCGTGGTTCGTTTTCTTACATATTGTACATTGTTTTCTCATATCATCGTCCTTATTTCTAAAGTAACAGTCCTTTTCAGAGTGATTATTCCTTTTACAGATAGAGTAATTTCTCTTACCTTTGTTGGGGCGGTTGATCTTGGCATGACCTATTTGATTACAATTGAAACACTTAAAAGAGGTTTTACTTTTGGTTTTAGTTACTGTCCTAAAATCTTTAGTCGTCATCTTGCACTTCACTTCTTCGAACATCAATCTGGCCACCAGGTTGTCAAGGGTTCTGTCCACAGTCATCGTTGAGTCCCAAGCAGTGCTGAAGTGTTTGTAGTCTTCTGGTAGAATCGTTGTTATTTTTGTCATGATCATGTTTTCATCAACGTTTTGGTTCAGTTGACGAAGCTTGAAGGCAATGTTCTATACATGACTTATATTCGTCATCATATCCTTAGTTTTGTCATACTTGAAGTTGCAGAAGTCTTGTAGCAGAAGGCGCTTCTGTTGAGGGGTGTCTCGTGATAAAATTTCTTCAAGGTGTCGTATATTTCTTTTGCGGTTGTGCATGTCACAATGTGTGTCTTCACGTGTTTCTCTATCGTTCTCACTATGTAGTATTGGCACTTTGTATCTCACATCTTTTTTTCCTTATATTTTCTTCGCCTCTTCCTTGGTCACTTAACAGGTCGCTGCCATCAAAGATGTTTATCAGTTCTTTTGCACGCATCAGAATCTTGATTTCAAAATCCCACAGTGGAAATGAGTCGGCGTCCTTCAGTTTTGGCAGATGCGTTATCTCTTATGTCTCTGCGGTTGCCATTTTTCGTTGTTTTTTTTCCCTGTCTTCTCCTTTTTTCTCTTTCTTTCCTTCCTTCTTCTTCTTCTTCTTTTTTTTTAGCAAATCTCGGTCCATAACCTGTTGAATTTCTTTGTGTCGCGCTTACATATCACTTAACAGCCATATTGGAAGAAAAGAACTTTTATTATAATACAAAACAAAAACAAATGAATATAGATCACTATGACCAACTTGAAAAATTTTACATTACTAGATTCTCAACAGGTATTGCTGATGAGGGTGATTTATGAAGTACACCGCTCAGATGGCCTCTGATGTCAAGATATGGACTTACCAAGACTCATGACGATCGATTCAGGGACTCAAGTTTTATTTGGGTTATTGCCTCAGCAGTTTGAGAGGTTGTAGTATTGGTACTTGTAATGGGAATGATTTCTTAAGTACGCCGCTCAGATGACCTGAGATGGCATGTTGAACATGCCAAATCTCATGACGATCTGTTCAGGTGTTCAAGTATTATTAAGGGCATTACCTTAATAATTTGATAGTACAGAGTGTTGAAATTACTCATGAGAGGGATTTGTGATGTACGCCGCTGAAACGGACTCAGTTGGAATGATATACATACCAAGTTCTATGATGATTTGTTCAGGTATTTAACTATCATCACGGTTATCGCCGCAACAATTTGAGAGGCTGTAGTGTTTGTATTACTGATCGAAGGGATTTAAGAAATATGCAATTGAGATGGCTTCATGTGGCATAATACATGTATACAGGGTTTGTCCGGAAAGTAATGCAACTTGTTTTTTCCCGCTTCACAACGCTTCCAAGCTCAGTCTGCTCTGAGCTCTGGGAGCGTCAGGATCGCTGTTTCCGTGAACCTCCTGTTAGTGCCTCTGTCACGACGCGCAATGGAGAAAACTATCGAACAAAGTTACGCGATCAAATTCTGTGCTAAACTGAACAAAAGGCTCATCGACACCCACCAAATGATTCAGGAAGCCTACGGGAACTCTGCTTTCTCCTATTCTCAAGTCTCCAGGTGGTTGAAGTTGTTTAAAAATGGCCGGGAAGAGGTGGAGGATGACCCCCGCTCTGGACGGCCGTCAACCAGTAAAACTGACAAAAATAGGTCTCGTGTTCGTGATCTTTTAAATACCGATCATCGAATGAGTGTTTGGATGATAGCAGAGACTCTCAGTATTCCGAAAACCACTGTGCACGACATCGTTACCGACAATTTGCACATGCGGAAAGTGTGTGCAAGTTGGTCCCCGAATTGTTGACTGACGACCACAAGAACAGCCGAGTGACGATCGCGAGTGAATTTTGGAACGTGTGCAAAACAAACCTGATTTTTTGGACAATGTCATTACAGACAACGAAATATAGACCTTCGAGTACGACCCGGAGACGAAGCGCTAAAGTTCCGAATGGCACACCTCGGAGTCCCCTCGTCCCAAGAAGGCAAGAATGAGCAAATCGAAAGCGAAAACCATGCTCATTGTCTTCTTCGATGCCAAGGGTGTGGTCCACAAAGCATTCGTACCACAAGGGCAGACAGTCAACGCTATCTACCACGTGGAAGTGCTCGACAGATTAAGAAAAAAGATCTTCCTCACTCGAAAGGAGATCGCCGCTACCTGGCAGCTGCACCACGACAACGCTCCCAGCCACACCGCTCAGTGCGTTGGGAGTTTCTGGCCAAGCACAGCTTGGCAACGTTTTCCCAGCCCTCCTACAGTCCTGACCTGGCTCCGGCAGACTTCTTTTTGTTCCCGAGGATCAAGACCGCCCTGAAAGGAACCCGTTTTGGAACCATTGATGCGATCCAAACCGCCGTGACAAAGGCTCTAAACAAGCTAAACAAGGTCCCTGTCGGCGCCTTCCAGGATGCGTACCGTGCATGGAGAAGTCGCTAGCAAAAGTGTGTGGATGCCCAAGGGGAGTACTTTGAAGAATTTTAAACGTTTGTAACGATATCTTGAATAAATTATTTACCAACTTAATTGCATTACTTTCCGGACAAACCTTGTATGTATGTGTACCACATTTCATGAAGATCAGTATAGGCGTTCAAGCAGTATTAAGGTTTTACCTCAGAAATTTTGAGATACTGTAATGTCGGAATTACTGATAGGAGGAATGTTTTAATTACGCCGTTGAGATGGCATGTGACATATTACCCCAAAACTTTAATCCGTATGTCATGATAGAGTGAAAATATGAGTAATAAACACTTTTTAAGAGTTTTAGTAGATACTACTGGTTTCAAGTTTCTTATCATGTAGCAAGCTGTATTTAAATTCTTTATGACCTCATCTATGTGCCTATCCCAGGTTATCTCATTTTGGATATTTAAGCCAAGAAATTTTATGTGATTCATACTTGTTAAAATAGCTCCTATGTCTCCCATATCTCTTGTCACCTTATTTTTTGTAGTGAAATTTATGTAATATGCTTATGTTGTATTAAGTGACATTAAGTTTTTTTTTAACCAATCATCCATTACCCTATATACCTCATTTATTATATATATAAATTTTATTGGATTTGTTTGCGCAATCAAAAAACTTGCATCATCTGCAAATAGAATGGGAGTACCTTTCGTCTCCAAAATCTTGGGAAGGTCATTTATATATATTATAAACAATAGTGGTCCCAGTATCGATCCTTGTGGGATACCACTGGTTACTTCAGCCCATCGAGAATTTACTTTACTACTATTTGTCCCATTAAATATAGTAGTTCTTTGTGTTTTATTTGATAGATAAGACTTATATAGGTCATATTGATTTCCTTTTATTCCATAAAACTTTAATTTGTTCAACAATACTTCATGGCTGACACAGTCAAATGCCTTTTGTAGGTCACAAAAGATTCCACAGACCTGCATCTTTTCAGCCATTTCATTTTTCACTGGTTCAGCCATTCAGAAGTTAATATGAGGGATACACATACAGACAGCAAGATGATTTCATAAGTTTATTTTTAATTTTTCAAAATAAGGAATGTAGGGTAAAAAATTAATAAGTAATGAACATCTCTTACATATATCTAAAGCAGTATTGCATAAGTGAAGGGTTGCAGAATTAAGAGAATGCTTCATACAGATCCAGTCAATGGCATCATGACTTCTTCAGAGTTTTAAACTGATAAAGAAGATTTAGTGAGAGTATCTTATGACACAGTAGTCTGTATATGAGAAATGAGTTTTACCAAAAAGAATACTATCAAATAATACCAAAGAATGAGCCAAAATATTGCATTGTAATGGTGAATTGAGAGTATTATTTGCAAAGGCAAATGAGAATGTTTATTATAAATGATCACAGTATACTGTGACACAAACTTTACTGCAATAACTTATAACCTGTTCCATGACATATTCAATTCTGCAAAAAGTTGCAAGCAAAATGATTCAAAATATGTATACTAAAGCTCTGTGTAGAGTGTAATTTGGTATAAGTTGTTATCTTAATTTATGTTTCAAATTTGAATTTGAATTCTAATTTATTTACGTTCCATAAATCCAAGTGCAGGTTGACACAATAGGATATGGAACAAGTCAAGTAAAATGCATAATATCTGTACAACAATAGTTTTGCATGAAAAGTTAATGAGGTTATAATACATCATTAATATTACCGTGCTAAATGGATACATACAATGGAGTCTGCAAATCTGTTTCAAGCCTGTATATTACTGAAGATCTTCCTTATTTATTGTCATTGTATTGTGAAATACATAGATCTACAGTTTCACTGTAAGTTCAACAGAAATAAAAGGAAATGCTTTAGTGTATAAAGATGTATTCATTGACATTCTTTTTACATTGATGTTATTTATGAAGGATAACTGTGATTCATTAGGTCTGCTCAGAAAAGTAACCAGAATAAGGGAAAAATTTACTAGAATGTGATTTTCAGTTGAGTAGAAGTCACGATAGTTCAGTCGGTATATTGATGGTCTACAGGCTGGACAGCCCAGGTTCAATTCCCATCATATTTTTATTACAGTTAGCCTTATGAGTCTAGGACAACTAATTTTTAATTGCAAGTCATCATCATGAACATTTTTACACATAACCTACATTTGGGCCTCTTTAGCTACAAGGATCTGTTTCAGAATTGATTTTTCCACTCCCTGGATATTATTCATATTGTACCTTTGCCATTTATAAATAATCAATTTTGATATATTGATATTTCTCTATTACTAATCATTTGTTAACGTCTCACTGTAAAAACAAAATGTTTTATTCCTGCATTGAGGATTCAAGCAAATTACCAAAATATCAGTAATCGCCTGTTGATTCACTGCTGTGAAAATTTTTATCTCGTACTCTTTGAGTTATTTAACATTAATTAAATTCATGTTTTTTAAATGCCACACACCAACATATTTGTATTTGAATTGAAATTCCAGGTTAATCTTCAGCATTTCTTTACATCTCATCTCTTTCCCTGCTTTTGCAGTATTAACTTCTTCCTGTGCAGGACTGGTAAAGGGGCCAAGAATTGTAACAGTCCTGAAGATGGTGTGTGGTATTTGTTATTGCACTGTGTTTTGTTCTGTAAATGTGTTATATTTCTAGATATCTTTAGACTGTGATGAGTTGTTCCTTAATTTGATTAGCATCTACAGTCTGTGGAACCTGTTTTTTATGTCTGTCTGTTATGTTTTCGTGGGTTACATACATTTCTATCAGTAGATTGTAGTTTATAAAATGATTAAACTGGACACATGATTGAGCTAATGCTCCTTCTCTTTACAAATTAAACTACCTTTTAAGTTCTATTCTTATAGTAGCCATAACAAACTCAAAAACATTCTTTGTATAAATGAATTCATGTAATTGCTTTATCTGACTCATCCTCTTCGAGAATCCCTTAGACACACACACACACACACACACACACTTTTGATATCTGTGCCCATTTGCAATCTTCCAGTTTACACAAAATGAACTCATATGTGTGGGTCATTCAGCTTCAAACCAACGAACGTTTCACTCAGTTCCCACAGTTTTTTTGCTGTAGCAGGATCCTTGGCTCCATGTGACAGAAAGTATTCCTGCAAGAAAAACAGAAAGTTAAGTGCATGTCAATAAAGTAGCAACTACAATACGCTGATTTAGACTAATGAGTTGTTTCCCTGAGGTAGTAAGTTGGATCTCTCATAAGAGACATTGCAATTGTAGGGAGTGGTGACCCTGTCTTGTGTGAGCTCCAGGTCCCACTGGCCTGGTGGTTAGCACGTGATAAGGGCTTCTTTCCAGGGTTACAGCTGCCTGAGTGAAGGAAATCCTGGATAAAAACCCTGGTTCTCCAAGACAGGGGGTTTTGCAACCAGCTGCTAACCTGCTGAAGTAATTAAAAACAAGAAGTTCTGCTAAGAACTGATTGCCTACTTCTCTGGCACTGTAAGGACTCTGATATAATTTGAAAGAAAACTTCAGTGTGCATGCATAATGAAGTCAATAAAACAATACAATTTGGGAGGATGTAGTGTTAGGGTGAAGGCACACCAAAGAAACTGGCAACCACAATTTCTGAGAATTGTCATCAGCCTGATTTGAACACATGTTACTGATTGAAGCAGTGCAAATTGAGAAAACTGCATTGCCATTTCCTCTATATGCACTGCTTGATTCAGTAACATGTGTTCAACTCAGGCTGATAACAATTCTCAGAAATATTGGTTGCTTTGCAGTTGCCAGTTTCCTTCGTGTGCCCTCACCCATAGTATTACTTATGGGTGTGATTTATGAAGTACACCACTGACATGGTCTTAGCTGGCATGGCATACAGTAAGAACCTGATTTGTTCAGGCATTTAAGTATAATTATGGTTATTACCGCAATAGTTTGAGATGTTGTAATGTTTTGTATTATTGATCAAGGGAAGTTGAGAAGTATGACATTCAGATGGCTTCATGTGGCATGATATACATATCAAATTTCATAAAGGCTGGCTCAACCATTCAGAAGTTAATAGGCGGGATGCACATACAGACACAGACATGGTGATAGCAAGTTGACCTAAGAAGCCTACTTTTTTTTTTCCAAAATAAGGAAAGTAGGCTAAAAATAAAGAAGTTCTGGGAGGAAATAGTTAGAGTCAGGGTTACTTTATGAGGCTCAGGACCAGATAATTTCTTTTCAATTGAACCCTTGCAGTCATAGTCCTTATGTTGCATCCTCACTGATGAGAGGATGGGGCTGTAGCTTACAATTGCTTCTGGCCCTCGCTGTTGCAGTCATTCTCAGATCCGAGCCCCGCGGGATACGTGACCACATTTTACTTTCTCAAATTCGAGACTCCCCCAAACCTGGAGGGCCAGGTCCCCGTATTTATATCCCCCAGAAACAGGTGGCCCAGTTATACCCCCAGACACCGGGTTCCCTTTTCATTGCCTCCTTCAACTTGCAGGGATACAGCGGAAGTATTTGACCCCACCTCCACACGGGAGCCTCTTGCTTACATTCCTTTGGCTTCATAATGAATATATGATACGACACCGACTGCAATAAAAAATGCCGCAATGAGCAGTTCTTCTATTGTTGCATGCGTATTTGTTGCTTCAAGGAACGTGTTTTCCAGGCATTTGACTAACAATGGGAACGGTTTTCAGGCAGGGGGCAAGGAGACACAGACAGCAAGGTGATGTAATCCCATTTTCTTGTTTTTGGAATAAGGAAAGTAGACTAAAAATGATTATGATTTATACCACAAATACAGGTATATTGTGGAGAAGTTAATGTTAAGAATGTTATTTATTTAATTAGACTTCAAACTGATATGTGTACAATACAAATATAAATACACAAATGCATTAAGAAGAATTTTAATAATTACCTGTACATTATTAGTAGCAACTGCAGTGTCTACAAACTAACGAACCAACCAGCTACCTAACTAACTCCTCTGAACCGAATCCTTCTTGAGAAACCAACACACTACTAACTTTACTTACTTAATTACTCATGGAGCTGAGCCCTTCTGGAGGAGCCGCCAATTCTGCAGCTACTCAAGAATTTCCCAGCATTTTATGGAACCTGAAGGTTCATTACCGTGTTCACGAGAGCCCTCCACTATTCCCTATCCTGAGCAAGATCAATCCAAACAATACCATCCCAGCCTATCTCTGTAAGATCCATTTTAATATTGTCCACCCACCTACGCCTTGGTCTTCCAAGTGGTCTCTTTCCTTCTGGATTTCCCACCAATATCCTATATGCATTCCTTGTCTCCTCCTTTCGTTCTATATGCCCTGCACGCCTCATCCTCCTTGACTTGATTATTCTAATTATATTTGGAGAAGAGTACAAGTTATGAAGCTCCTCATTATGCAGTTTTCTCCAACCTCCTGTCACTTCATCTCTCTTCGGTCTAAATACTCTCCTCAACACCCTGTTCTCAAACACCCTCAGTCTATGTTCCTCCCTTAATGTCAGAGACCAAGTTTCACACCCATACAGAACCACGGGCAAAATTATAATTTTGTATATTCCAATTTTTATGTTTTTGAACAGCAGATGAGAAGACAAAAGGTTCTGGACTGAATGGTAGCATGCAGTACACGAATTCAATCTTCTCTAAACTTCCTCCTGAGTCAGGTTTCGATCTGTTATCATTGTTCCCAAATATCTGAATTGTGCCACATTTTCAAAACATCTGTTTCTTATCTTTATATCATGATTTTGCCCTGCATTTTGGTGATGGGACAGCAACATATACTTACTTTTCTCAGTGTTTACTTCTAGACCAACCTCTTCACTTGCGTCAATTAAAGTTTGTGTTTTTTTCTTTATGGTATCTACATTGTCACCCAGTAGATTCACATCATCGGCATAGGCCAACAGCTGATGAGTCCCATTTAATTTCAGTCCCACCTGTTTTCCCTGAACCTTCCTAATTGCATATTCTAAAGCAAAGTTGAAGAGGAGTGGCAATAAAGCATCTCCTTGTTTTAGACAATTCTGGATAGGAAATTTATCAGACAAATGTTTACCTACACAGACTTTACTATACATTTCATTTAAACACATTTTAATCAACCTAACTAGTTTCATGGGTATCCCAAACTCTATCAGAATATTGTACAATACTTCCCTCCTAACTGAATCATAGGCTTTTTTGAAGTCTACAGATAGCTGATATACTGTTTCATTGTACTCCCATTCTTTTTCTCCACTATCTGATGACTGCAAAAGATCTGTTTCTTCAAAACCTGCACTGATGATCCCAAATAATTTCATATATGTATGGACTTAACCTTGAGAGAAGAATATTGGATAAAATGTTGTATGAAGTTGATAGCAGTGATATCCCACGATAATGACTACAGTTAGTTTTATCACCCTTCTTGTGAACTGGTACAATAATAGACTCTTTCCACTGATCAGGCAATTTTTCCTTATGCCAAATAGAAGTAATTAGATTGTGGATATTAGAATGTAATATTTCACTTCCTGCTTCAATAAGTTTTGCCAGAATTTGATCACTACCTGACGATATTTTTCAATTTTGCAACAGCACTTTCACCCTCAAAAGGGCTAGGTTTAGATACTAATGGCTCAGCTGTATGGGTTTTTGTTTGCCTAACATCACTGACCCTATGTACATTCAATAACTGAGAGAAGTAGTTCCTCTGCCTATTCAAAATGTTGTGGGAATCTGCAAGCTGCTCTTTACCCTATACCTCATTTAATTTCTTGAGATTGAACCTCTCCATATGAACTCTGTGCCTTGTTTGTTTGCTCACTGCCAGTCTTTCCCTAGCCTTTGCCACCACCAGGTAGTGGTCAGTATCACAATCTGCTGCCCTGAATGATCAGGCATCAAGTATACTTGAATTCCGTCTCCTATCTATCAAAATATGATCTGTTTGATTGTGTATCTTCCCACCAGGCGATGTCCAAGTAAATTTATGGATGTTAGAATGTGGGAATATTGTACTTTTGACAGTAAGATTTTTTGATGTGGCAAAGTTTACTACTCTAACTCCATTATTGTTACTAATTTCATGCAAACTGTCATTCCCAATCATTGGTTTGAAAATGTCTTCCCTCCCTGCTTTGGCATTGAAATCTCCTAACAAAAGTTTCAAAGGTTACGTCAGGAATTTATCAAATACATGTTCTAGTTCTTCATAGTATCTATCCTTTATGTCATTAATTTATATTCTGTTGGGACATGAACATTCAAAACAATGATATCACACTAGTGAACACACTACTAACACTAATACAAAATAATAAGAAGAAGAATAACTCTTTCAATATGTATAGAGATATGAATTTAACTGATGCTACTTTTGACCCAGCACAGCCAGAGCTCGAGGTGAGCCTGCTGGTCCAAGCATTAACCTTTAACGTTAGAAGTTCCCCATTTGGGCCAGTGATGAGTATGGTCGTCACGGCCAAAGTACCCCGATTTGGCCAGTTGGGCATTTAAACTCTGCTAGTGGGAATAGCGCACGCACGCCACTAGTAGAAGTGCATGCACAGTCCTAAATATTTATTTCTTATGCAATAATTACCAGACAGACTTGAGTAAAACCCTAATAGAGGAATTAAAATGATACATAAGTGAAGAACAATAAAAATGAGTATACGTATGAGTTATAACGAAACTCATCCACAAGCCAAGTACTTTTATTGCAGATTCTGCAGATTACTGTGTTAAAAATATGTAGTATAAAATTCGATGTACATACCTTCTTTTATTCTTATTTGCTTGTATATAGGCTTATATATATATCTGTTATATATAGGCTGAAATGAAACTACAGTATTCGATTTCACTATGAACGCACAGAAAACAGATCACACTCTGTATCTCAGCCATGATGCCACTGTCTGTTCACGACCATAGAAAGGGCAATAATCTCTTGCAGCTACAACAGAAGGTCTTAGCACTGAAGCCATGCTTTCATTCTTCTGTCCTTTAGTCAAAAGATTCGAAAATCTTAAGAGTATATATAACAAAAACGTGAAACTTTCCAGCAGAAGACCAAATTATTTTATTGCTTCCATCTGTTTTATGACACCAGGGACTGCTAAAATATGTCAATTGTTATAAGCAGGACTGATTTTATAATGCAGAACAACTCTGTGAAGAAATTGGAAACCATTTTTACAGTATGCATCAAAATTAGAAGGAAAAAATTGAAAATAGTGTATACATCTTTGTACAAAAATTTGCAAATCTTGTGTTATAATATATGACACTATGTTCTTTGCTGATACGAACAAAGTCAGTTCCATCAATTTATCACAAAAATTGTGTTTGATACAGCATTTTTAAACACAATGCTTAAAATTGTTTAAGCACCCTAACAGGAACATACATTTTAAAAGCAGAGCAGCAACAGGCATTTAAATGCGCACCAGCAGTGGGCATTTAAATAAACTCAGGCCAGCTCAAGCTTACCACCATTTCAAAAGTCTGGCATTTAAAGGTTAATGTTACCACAATAGTGTTGTCAGCTAGCAGCCTTTTTGCAGACCAACATTTAAAAATGTGATTCACCAGGCTTTTAGATGGATTGATCCATACTTGTGAATGTGCCGCATTGTGCTCCTCTATAATTTGCTTCTCATTGTTTTTACTTCTAAAAGTTTGTCAGTAAGTCTGTAATCTGCTTTCACATTCAAGTTTAGTAGTATCAGCATGCATGCTCCTGAAGCTGCTAGAGTGAAAACTAAGCATCTAAGTGGACCCCCAAATATTCAAACACGCTTGTATGTTTAGCCAGGCAAGAGAGCTGTATGGCAGGCAGGTCATATCATGCTGTATTATCATAAGAGAATACAAACCTTGCAGTCAATGAAATATTTTCCTGATATGCCTTCCACATCTTCAGACACAGAAAGGTAGATTGTTGTCTGGGCACCTTCTGCTGGAGACTGACCAGATAATAACACATTTTATTATAAATATGAAAATATAGCAATTAACATGTTATTGTAGTAAGGTATATATTTTTTTTGGATTACTGGCTTAGTGGAAGGAAGAGGGAACACACATAACATGAATGATATTAATACATCTATAAAACAGTATCTGTCCCTACTGTTTTATAGATTTTTATTTCCATATATGACACCACTAAAATCTTCCATTTCTAGTCATTAGGTTTCTCCAATTGGAGCTTAATGTGTGACTTTGGCTTTTGGGAATATGACGCATACAATGTCAAGGGTTTTCCAGCGTTTCAGCAAACCTTGCAGTTGCCATCTTCAGGGTCAGTGGCTTTGGGTTGCACTATGTTCTGTATCTTTGTTAATGAAACCACTGAGTAAATAACAGATTATGAAATAGTTTAAATGGAAGGACCAAGAAACAAACTACATGTATATTATGAGCATATGTCTTCACCATAAATATTGCATGAAATGACAGTCTGAAACTTTCATTTATCAAGAGGGAGATATCTACTTCACTTTTGACCAAACACATGAGAAATGCAGTTTTACTGATGTGAATATCTGAAACTGTAGGTAGTATTGTGTACAATTTATAGAACTATAGGAGATGTGGGAACATCCCACATACTAACACGCAGTTTTGCCGGTCTAACAGACAGCACTCAACTCCTAGTCAATATCACATTGCTGCCAACGCTCGTATTTATACAGCACTTGCTGTCCAGCCCACCTTTACATCATAGCGCGTGCTAGCCAATCAGCACTCACAATCGCAGCTGCAAGTTTAAGCTCCGCCCAGCAAGCATGGTATAAAAGGCGGAGCCCAAAGCTTGCAATAATAAGTGATCACATTAACTTCAGAACGATCAGTCATCAGAGTCAGCAGCTCTTCGCTGCTCCAAAGACAGCTGCCACAACTCTCCAACAACCACGCTCTATGACCAGGCAGCTAACGTAGTTGCCGCAACTCTCCAGCAACCACGCTCTGCTACCACACAGCTAACGTAGCTGCTGGAACTCTCCATCCCACACCGTAGGCAGCTGTTCCTACCGGCGCATGCCACACCACATCACTTGCCAGACAAACCAGCTGAACGACCGTAAAGACTTGGTCTACTACAAAGGAGCAAATTCTGCCAGTGCACTCATGGCAGAACAAACTGCCCTTTTCAGGGCCAGCCAACTTTTGAACATCGACATTCCACATAGCTTCGCAGCTATTCTGTACATTCAATTTATACAATTTAATATATACAATTGTTACAGTTTTACGTGGTTGTCTTTTAGAACATCAACAATCCCACAATTATATATTTAAATTTGGTTGAAATTTACCCCCTTCTGTCTTAATTTAAAATGTCACTTTTCAGTACAGTGAAAGACCACACACACATTCCATGACATTGATTTGTTGACCATATAGTTTTGGTAGTTTTAATCCTTAAATTGGCAGCTATGCAGTATTATAGGGAGTAAAATTTATGTCACATAAAACAGATTCCTGGACCAAATATATGATAATTTTGTATACACTTTAAGATAATATTCTGTATAATTTAAGTATTTCCTCTGCCTAAGAGTAATTGCAGAACTCACCTTAAAGAAGCCTTTGATTAGAATTTTTAATGGAAGATTTAGTGGAAATGGAACATTCCTCCATATTCCAGAATCAATCATACCAGGATGCAGGCAGTTCACAGTTACTCCTGCAGTGAAAAAGCAAACAGTAAATATCAGTTGGTTTTAGGTCCTGGGAAATTTCTGGGGATGGGAAAGAGCGGTAGTACTAGACCACTTATAATTGCATATGGTAACTTGTTTCATTATATCCTTCAATATTTGAGTTCTGATATTTTGATTTATCATTTCTTGCAGCACCAGATGCTCTGACTGGTAATATTTGGATTGTAGGTGTGTTACTCGTCAGTTTGACGAGCTCTATATGCTATGGGTGCTAAAGCCCCTGTACAGGATTTGTGGAGTTATTTAATAACAATAAACAATAAACAATAAACAATTACTGTTTGCATGCAAGCTTTTATAAACAATAATTAATATTTAAGATATAAACAAATTATTATCTCTATTAGGATTTACTAATTGCTTCAGTACAGTTTATTAATTGCTGAAAGTATTTTCATAAATATGTTGATTTATAGTTGTCCATTCAGTTATCTTTCTCTGATGATTTTCTAGGCCATTTCCATGTAAAATTAAACTCTGAAATGTGTTAAAAATGTGAAGAAGAGAAAAGAATTACAAACACAAAAATGTGTCTTCCGAAGTATGTTACAGGATAATCAAATAAACTGTTCATTTTTAAGGATCTGACATAAGGTATTCAGAAATATGTGCTCTATTGTAAATTATAGTTCATGAACATCAGTGAAAGAGAATTAAAATATGTATCTTTACTTGGCCCTTCTGAAAAATATAAGATGACTGTTCAAATTAAAACATTTTCAGTATGCGCCTCATGAATTTGTTTAGAAGAAACTTATTTTTAAACCTTGAGTGGCAGAAATGAATCAGGTCAAAAGGAAGTTTTTTATACCTTGATGTACTGCAAAAATATCAGCAAATAGTATGTAATGAAACACATTGTGTGCTCATGAGAACCTTAAATTTTTAATTAATGACAGCTCTAAAAAGATGTTGTGAATGAACATTTTCTAAATCATAAGTCATGGAATAAAAAATGGAAGCCTTTCCATTTAGCTACTTGACATACCAAGGAAGGGATGAAGTTAATATGTAACATTAACTAAGAATGTCTAGAAAATATGCTCACATGAAATATCCTGTCAAATTCTGTAGATAATAATATAAAGAACAAAAATATGCAGGTTTATAACTATATTTGAATAGGAGAAGCTGAATCTTTGAAACCTAAGATGGAATGATTAAAAATGAATATGATTTGGAAATTAAACTTAGAAAAGTCACACAGTTTATTTTTTCCAAGACAGGAAAGAATGATGAAACTCTATACAGATTCTTTCTTTCAAATCACTTTTGCCTTGTGGCATATATGTAGGGGTAACTCCAGTTAAATCCAAATGAACTTAAAGTACAGTAATGATTCATGAAACTTCATGATTTAAATTATCTTATAACTTCCTTAGGTGATTCCAATGGAAGTCATTCTTACAATTGTTTGAACGAATGCCAAGTAAAATATAAACACCATCATTGAAGGACTTTCGCCTTGGGGTTCAAGCCTGACATCATGTGGCTGAAATTGTGTCTCCCCATTTATAACAATGAATTTAAAAACTGAATATAGTAATAAAGGTCTAAGTTTTAAAACACAATATAAGAAATGGATCCTAATATAGACATAATAATGATTTACATGTATCAATATAAAGTTTTATCTGATTCACTTAACTGGATTCAAATTAAAGCTTTGTTAATTTGTATTTAAGAAGTAAATAGCATAACACTTTCTACACAATCATTTTTTTATTGTAACATAGTGTTTAAAACTTTTGGAAAAATTGATATTTATATTCTATAAAGAGTGAGTTAGTTGTGACCAATATTTATCACTTAACATTGTAACTCTCTTTAACCATGTGAATAATATGTATTATATTAGCTTCTCAATGTTTCAAGTACCTCTGAAACAAAATAATCAGAATTTGGGAAAATAGTTCTCACCACTGCCTTCAAGTCTCCTGGCCAGCTCTTGTGCAAATACAATGTTGGCATACTTGGATACATAGTACAGATAAGCAGGAAAGCCATCTACAGGATTGAGGTTATTTAGGTTTAGATAGGCAAGACGGTACAGCTCTGAGCCCACTATGACAATACGGCTTGGTGCAGACCGCTTCAGCAAACCTAAACATAAAATTGCAAGGTATAATATAATGCACAGAGCATGTCTAATGCATGCTAATAGAATGGGGGCATACAGCTTATTAATATCAGACATGCCAGTGAGAACATAATGCTCATATCATTTAGGGTTTTTGCTAATGCACATAAGTTAGAATGACAATATACCAGTTGGTACTGTAGATCTTAATACTACAGAAACCTATCACTGAATGCATACTGAATGAAATAAATGAAATTCCTTTAGGTGTAACCCAGTTGTGAAATCACAATGAAAGCTATCTAGTGGTTTGGCAGAGGAAACATATGGATTTACTGCAGTCATCTGTGTAACATATGAGTATTTTAAGTACATATTTCATGCAGAGAATGCATATAAATTTTGTAGAGCTATATCTAAATAAGAACACACATGTTCTCCAGATATCCTTTCAAAGTAACTTGCCAGTAGTTTTTTGCACCTGCTTTGTTGAGCTTTCCATGCTTCGGTTTTCTTTCACTATTGGCTCTTCAAGAAGATGGATGTCATTCATCTTGAAAACATGGTTCATACGACAGAGTGCTTATAGCAAATCTTGAGAGAATGTGAAAAGCACATGTGGTAGCTGAGAGGACAGATAACAATGACCAGCTATAGCAGGAAATGATATGCAGCTGACTGTAGGTTTGAATTTGTTGCTGTTAAGATTACTTTGTATGGTAGGCTACTTTCCAAGTAAACAAACATGAATGCTCAATTAGAATACAAGGTTAGCAGTGGGCTGTTAGAGTAGTACAGTATAAGTTTGCTATAGCAGATGTCATAAACAAAGGACTTTGTACTCTCCAAACAACTTGTGACTTCAGTCAGCTTTCAAAAATATTTTGATGTGAATGTCCTGAAATGACTGGCCATATGAAATGCTTAAAGACGTGTCAAATTTTTCAGGCTATATAAGAAAAAATCCTGAGGTTATAATGAAATTTGGTACCACTTTAAATCTGATTTTCTATGTTAACGATAAAAGTTGCTATGTGACAGTACTTGAGAATGGATAGGTTACATCTTTCGGAAAATAGGATGAATAAAAGTATAGGCTCTGACCTGCAGTAATGTTCTGATGTTATTAATGATAGTCATTTATGAAGTTCATGAAGCTTTTCATACATACCTTAGGGAAGACATTGTAAATGTGAATTAAATAATTAAACAAATGAAAAACACAACATGAGATTTTGATGGAAAGTTTCTAGGGTCCTTAGAACATGAATTTGTTATTGCTGTTTATTATCAACCTACAACTGTGTAATCATGAGTCAAATGCAACCAACTGAAGATTTGGTTTGATGTGCATCTTAACACCTTCAAAACACCAGTCAGCAGTCTATGATACTGTATTCAAATTAAATATTAAACATTCATAATGTGTATGTATTAAAAGTTTTCAAGGGCATACAATCCCATTTACCACTTCTACACTACATGTTTCGGCAGTATGCTGCCATCTTCAGGTGTGTCGATCCATCAACTATTTCACTGCTTGCCTTCATATTGTAACGTGTTGGGTTACTGTAGACGCCGTTCGGATTGTTAATTGGTTTATTTAACAACCTACAAATCTCGGCTACAATTAATTATAACAAAGTTGCGGGGTTTCACACTTTATAACCCTATTCGCAATAATCTGTTCACACTTGTCAGTAGTCTACATGTTTCACAGTACGGGAGCTATACAAGTGTCACTGTGTTACACACTCCCAATTAATTCTCAGTTATCACAAACTGTCACTGATTATAGCACACTAACTGTCTCCGGAGACGGCCACACGTTAACTAACTCCGGCGGCTGTGCAGTTCCCTTATATAGCTGCAGTGCTTGTCTGTTGCATAATGAGTGCCTTGTCACAGTAGGAATCAGTGCCACGTTGCCGTGTTTGCATATAGCCTAGCAACGCTGTTACCTCACGCCGTCTTACGTCACCGTGTGTTGCATGTTCCGTCACCGTGGGGAGAGTGACGGGGTGATGACTCACCTATTACCATAGTAACGAGAGCGCTACGTTACCGCCACGTGCCGCTGGGGAGGTAGGGGTCCTCTGTTGCGCAACATGTCACACTGCTCCCTCCTTAAGGCTGTTCATCCCGAATAGCCTAACGGTGCTTCCTCATTCCTTTTCTTTGGAGGCTGTTCTTGCAGCATTTTCTTTGTGTCCTGCTACTGTTTCTCTTCTCCAACCGCTACATCTTCCCCCTTTTTATGGTTGCTTGTCTCGAGCAGCTCCATGATAAGGCGCTAGCCGGTCGAGGTGTACTACCAACAGCCTCGACCTAGGGTTCCTCTGAATACAGTATACCACATCGTTTATCCGGGTCACTACTTTGTAAGGACCCTCCCAAGATGCTTGTATTTTCGGCGATTTCCCTTTCTTCCGCATTGGGCGATAGAGCCAAACTCTGTCGCCTTTGTCGTAACCTGCAGAGTTGGCCAGTTTATCGTACTGGGTTTTCATTCGGTCGCTGGCGAGCTTCAGGTGCCATCGGGCATAATCGTAGATGTCGTGCAGATGATCCACCAAGTCTGCTGCATTATCGGTTGTGGGTAGTTCTTTGTCTGGGGGTACCCCAAACAGCAGGTCGCAAGGTAGTCGTAGTCACACTATGTCCATTTACAAATAATACTAAATTTGTATACATCCTTATATAATAATAATGTTTATATATTTAAAACTTGTTAAAACCTATTATCTCATACGTCATATTTTAAATTCGCGTGTATTATTGATCATCCACATGGGGGTTCTTCTTCTTATGTTTCTAATGTTGTGTGTATATAT